CGTAAGTGTTCCACATAGTGGAGGATGTCAGGTCGCTCGCGCTAAATTTATTTAAATGTGGGCGCCAAGCGCGATACCAACCTGCCACCTGCGCTAGTACTAGAGATCTCCAGGGATGAGTCGCTCTGGGTCGGGATGATGAGCATGCTCTTTACTTATTAATTAAGAAAACATTTCCAACTGATTATTTAAGCGTTTCCGTCAGAATGGCGGCCACACATTCAAACTGACTCTATTTTTAATTAGATCGCTGGTGAGGTAGATACCTTTTTATTATGATAAAGAAATGAAGATATTGTCTGGTATAAAATACTTTTTATTCAGCTTATGATCGTTTCGATTCTAATTGCACTCTTTAATAGATCGTAAAGTTCATATTAAGGTATTATTTTTTCAAAAATTACATCAATGTTGTTGTTTTTTAAATCTCTCTCACACTGGTAATATGTTAATTTACAGCAATTTGTACACACTATTGTATTTGTGAGTTAAAGTGCTTTAAATAACTTCAAATGAAGTTTTTCTAAAACACAAAACTTTTCTGTGAAAAAGTGCTTCAATTTCGAATTGACTGTAGCGCTTAAGCGCCATTTCCTTAAAAAAAAAAATTTTTTGTTACAGAGGTACAGAAACAAAATTTTTGTTTCATTTCTTTTCCCATCCTTGGTGCTATATTATTTATCACAATTACATTCAGAAAATTTTCAGTATTAAGAAAGACTGCAGACATTTTTAAGAACATATATTTTTGTTTCCTGTTTTCTTAAACAGGAACTTAAACTTATACATGGCAATTTTTATTTGTGTCAATTGACAAATCTAAAATATAATTTGGAATAAATTAACACACAGTTTCTGTCGAACGACGATTCGAATTAAAATAGTGTTTATTTAATTCGAAATTGTGCCAATTAATTAGGAAAAAATTATTTGACATGTTTTTATTTGGGTGTGCTGACATGCCTGTTCCTAGACACACACCTTTTCTCCGCCGGTCTGAGTTGTTGGGATTCTTAACAGATCAGTATAAATTCGTGGCGGCATTTTTTTTTTATTATAGCATATCTTTATATAGCACTAGTTTGAGGCAAATTATGCTAAACTGTGTGATTTAATATGGGGTATGGTAAAGATGTACTCTCTTCTTTCTCTACTGGAGCCCACATTATGTCCTATTGTGATAGGATTCTGTGCCTATTTTCCCTACCCCCATTTTGAAAATGTGAATATTAATTTTGGTGAATATTTGTGTATGGATTAGGTACCAGTTGTTCACAGACAAAATAAAGATAACTAATTTTTTGGTGTCAAGTCTCACAAAATATTTGAGTATGTAATTTATCCAGTAAGCATAATTAGGAGCAAGAAAAATTAATATTTTCAGTATCAGAGGTCCGTGCCCATAAAACGGTTTTTCTGTTGAAAAACAGCATTTTTGGCTGCAGAATTAGAAAACTTTCTCCAAGCTCAGTAAGCAGTATAAGAGAAAGTGAACAATTTGAAAGCCTTTTTGAGACAATCTTGTTTACCTACATTTTTTGAATAATTGTCAGGATTTTACTTGGACAGGACAATTGTGCCATATTTATAAGCATAATTTCACTATATTTGGAGCTGTTTCTGTGAACATGTTTAAACTATTCTAAGGGCTTCATGTAAAGTCTCAAAGGAATTACTATACACTTTCAAATTTGCTGTACCTATAGTGTGGTCAGATCATTCACAAAATATCCATTTTGGAAAAAATCAGATGGTTTAGGTAATGTTCATTGTGCTGTCATGGTAATTTTTTGCTTAATATTCTGCTTTTGTTAAAAAATCTTATTAATATTTTCATATCCCTAAAAGTTTAATCAAAATGAAGCAGTTAGAACATCATAAAAGAGCAGGTCATTTATAATATAGACAATCTTCCAGCAAATAATTGGAGCCCTTTTCAGAAAAATATCACTTGAATTTGTTTTCAAATATGTGTTATTTCTGGTTCATTATACTTTTAAACTTTTGAGATTTGAAAATACTTTATATAAGATCATTAACATATTTGGGTTCACAAATGCATTGAATCACTGCAGTTGAAGTATTAATGATGTTTATTATATTTATAAGGAATTATTCAAATTTCATGCCCTGTTTGCAATATTTGAAATTTTAAAGTTTTATTAGAAATTCTATGCATGACATATGAGTGTATGGTGTTCTATCGTGGCTACCTTTAACACGACCTAGCCTAAGTGGCTTCACTACACTCTCGCTGTGAAGCCGGACTAATTCTCAGTGTTCAAATGGTGCAATTCATGTCTCTTCAGTGAAGGAAGAAAAATAAATAAATTACTTTCTTTTGTCACCTGTGGCACTGCCAAGAGATCTGAGAGAGTATAACTATCACCCATTCATGTACATCAGGCTTTTTCGCAATGATAACGCTAGGAACCCAAAATCACTTTCTTTGCCTTACCACATATATTCACTTACAATGGTTGCAATATAATAAAAGTGTGTTAATTGATGTTCTTCAAAACATTATGCAGTTAATTGAAATACAATGTATTTTATCTAATTGTAGTAAATATGTTTACAGGATATGTGCTAGAATGTTTATATATTGAGGAACTGGAATATAAGTAAACACACTTTCAAATATTAAATTGTCGTGGTCTATCAGTCCCCATATCTTGTTATTCAAATAAAGGCATGCTCTTGAAATAAACTCAGCTCTAACCTTCACAAAACTGTGAGGACTTGTTTTATACATTCTTGAAAGTCACAAACCAAGGTTGCTTTTTCTAAGGTGTGCATTGGCAAGGCCTTTCTTAAATGTACACGAATGGCTGATATGGTTCGATCCAGACGAAGCAATCATAGCTCTTTGAAGTCAAAATTTTGAAGAATTGTTGGCATTAAAGAACACATCTACCTTCAAATTATTCAGAGAGATTAAAAAATTTAAAACTTGTATTTAAAATTTTTGAAAATTGCCTAACAGAAACCACACTTTTATTATATTTATGAAGGTCTTTTGCCCCATTTGTTAAAGAAATTTGAAGAAAAAATTTGGATCCATTTCCCAGAAAATTTAAAATTGGCTTTATAAAAAGAACCACCGAAAATTAACGTGTTTCAAATTCTCAGGGCCCAAGATGAGGCAGATCAATAAGTCAAAATCCACTTTTGAAAAAAATCCTGTGAGCTGTTCAGGTGCTGCTAATTAACAGAGACATATTTCTACTTGGAAGGAAACAACCCCACACTTTCTGTTCAAAACGGTTTTGTAAACATTTTGCAATACAATGTAATACTCAATTGTTAAGAATTTCATAATTTTGAATATTTACTCCATAAGTAATGCAGTTCAGTAATCTGTCAATCATTTGAAAGCAAAGCAAGATTTCATTGCTATAAAAGACAATGTTAAAAGTGTCTATATACTTACTGCATGAAAATTCTGAAAATGAAAGTTTTTTTATGCATTACTGACAGTGCTTTATTGTACAAATGAATGAAAGTAATAAAACTAAACTTTCAGAACAATGTACATTTATTCATCCTACACACATTTTTTTTCCTTTTCTTCCTACAGACAACTTATGAAAATATTTATTGGTTTAGTCAACATACTTGAATAATGAGGGGGAATTCTAATGAAAGCAAATATTTAACAGTGGCAGTTATGATTCACAGCCTGAAGAACAAAAGACAAATGTACACGTTTTGACTATAAGAAGAATGTAAATAAAATCATTAAACATACTATATTTTTTTAAAAGAGAGGTCCATTTTCAATACATGTGACAAATAAAAAAAAAAAATACTATTGGCAATTTGGTGGATTTTAGATACAGAAGTGGTATTCAAGTTGACAACATTATTGATGATATGATGATGATGATGATGATGATGATGATGATGATGGTGGTGGTGGTAATGATAATAATAATAATAATAATGATAATAATAATAATAAAAGTAATAGTAATAACAACAACAGAAATAATGAAAGTAAGGGTTTAACATTTATTCAGAAATACATTTTTTACCATCAATCACATCTCAACTATTATTACTGTACATCTGATGGAGATAAAAAGAATCTGCATGGAAGAAGCTGCTAACTTATTGCACTTTCATCACTTACAATAAAACAAATGCTTCATAATATACAAAAATTATCTATAACATGTACATATAAATTAAGTACACTGAATAAGAAAACTACAACAGCAAACACATTGAAACCCCTTTACAAAATGTGTATTTTCAACAGAAAAGAAAATTGCACCTAGAATCACATTATGTTTTTGGAGATAACATATCCACTGTATTTGAAGATGTATGTATTACACCATTCATAAAGTTTACTAATAACTCTCATATATAATATATAAAAGAAAACACAGTGAACTTAGAACTTTCTGACAAAATATGTATTTCTAAAGAATAAAGCTTACCATCACAGCAATTTTTTCCTTAGAAAAAAACTTACTCATACATATTCCTCACTTTTTGAACAACACAACTTATAGATCTGTAAAAAGAAATAACAAAAATACTATATGCCAATTTTATAGTCTGTACATTTAATAAATAATTCTTGACATTCATTTTGATTTGCTTAATAAAATCTTGAAATGTGTTTTCTGTTTATAAATTTGTCTACACTTTGTCTAGATTTGTACAGTTTAAAAATAAGTTAGTATTTAGTAATGTGGCAGATTCAAGCACAGACAGTAGAAGGAACCACACTAACTCCCGGTCACCTGGAACTCACTGTTATCTTCTCTACCCCAAGCAATTCACGAACTCTGTCATTGTACTTAACGAGTGCCACCTTTGAAGCTCGGATGTTAACTTTTTCACCAACACCTAACACATGGCAACAATGGGCTTGTTCCAGAAAATCTGCCATTTTCAGTTCCCTCAGTATACTTCTGATATCAGTTCCTGGTCCAGGACTAATTTGCCGAAGTAAAACATCTCTTGACTTAACCCGTAATAGAGGAGCTAAGTCCTGGAACAATACCCAGCGTTCTTTCACAGGCTCTCCTCTTAGTTGATACAGAACAGGTAGAGACACTTCACTGATTTCAAATTCAATTTCATCTTCTTCTCCGGTATCTGGTGATGCACATGGAGGGTCTTGCAATGGATCATAACCACTTACTACAGGATCTGTAACATGCAAAATGAACAATTTACCCATTTTGTATTGATGTGATTTATTAAGTGGTAGTACTAAGATTTGGAATTTTTACAATATGGAAATTTAATTTATAAAATTTGAAAAGAACAAATGAAAAATAATGTGCCTGAACTGAGCAACATATGTATAGACAAAATATGCAACTGGTACAAGCAAAATATAATTTCAAAAACTATGTTGAAATATGGAGACTTAGCTACATCTGTAAACTACACTTTCAGCTCAACAATTTAAATTTCAATACAAAAACTTGTAGAAGTTGTGCAACTTATTTGGAAGTACTAGAGAATATATTGAAGAAAAGTAAAAATGTACTAAAGAACTGAGTTTTGTATGCAAGAGAACTGCAAGGGCTGAACTGTGTTTACTATTAAACATTGCACCATGATGCGACAAAAACTTTTGGAGGATTTCTGCATCTTAACTCATTTCTTTGTTTTTAGGGCATGTGTCTGTTTTCTGACCTATCACAGAAAAAATTAAATGGGTTATCTTTGATTTTATTTTTCAAATCAATTTTCTTTTGCAATAAACTCATAACTTTTGATATACAATTGCTTTCTGCAGTATTTCACATCAGCCTAATAAAGTTACGAGCCATCTATAAATAATGTAAGGGAAATTTGGAGTATTTTGAATATCCCCTCTCTGTAACACACCCGTATTAGTGGGGCATTATCCCTAACTACATAATTATGTAATGCTCAGTACATCACCCCCCCCCAATATAAGACAATAATTTACTTTAATTTTACTTGTGTTTTATAGTAAAATTTATGATAATTTAAGTCGGAAAAGATTGGTGATGCTGATTGCACCTATCAAAACTATTCGTTGCAAGTTGTGAGTGAAGGATATGCAAGAAAATTTTTTATCGTAATCTGTGGACATGCTGTTGTGGGTGACGCATGGGCGAGAGTCTACTGCACCAATTTCAACATATTCTAGAACAATACTACAGCTCAGTTTTCAATATTTTCTTCAGAATCTTACAGATTCAGAAAATAATTGGGAAAAAGAAAAAGAAAGAAAAAAAAATCAATTTAATGTAATAAATTAAATTTATTTATGTTTGAAAACAAATAGTTAATATTTTAATGCTTTAGTAGAAGAAGAAGAAGAAAGGAGAAAAAAGAAGGAATTATTGCAACAAATGTTGAAAAATGTGACAAAATAAATATCAATGTTATGTCGCAGTAAATTAATACAAAGTACACTTAAATAACGTTGCCTCAAACCCCCTCCTCCTCTTTGGCGTTATGTAATTTATGGATGACCCCTTACAATCTTCGTGGTAAAAGTCAATATAGTCATGCTGGCTTGTCAATTGTTTTGGTTGTCTGGATATAATTGTTTATACTCTCCTTTACATTCATTTTTTTCAAATACATATGGCTATCCCACCAACTGAAATTACTTTGACTGAAATTAAGTCTCTTAAACACAAGTATAGATCAACTAGACTGCTGTTGCTATCCTAACACTGATAAGAAAATCAGTCCACATAGAGAAAAATTTGCCTCTTAGTTCATTGCTATATTTTTGCCCGGGGGACACTATTTTCTAAATAACTACAGGTCTTGTTCACTGGGTGTTTCATATTACAAAGTACTCAAAACAATATAAAATTTAGAGGTAAATAATTTTATAATTATTATATACTTAAGTGTCTTGGGAAAGGGAAATGATTTTTCTTTTCGGGTCACAAAAGGATCTCCATTGATGAGTGGGGTGGTAAAAATGTTGAGATAATTTCACAGCGATTGCGGGACAGCAAGGATAAATTAGAAAAAGAAATTGAAAGATTCAAATGATACATAAGAAATTATTGAAAATGGGGTAGAAATGCTGATAAAATCATACTGATGCTAAAAATGATTTTTTAACACTGTATACAAAATGCATATTCTGTGCATTGCTATACTCATTAAAAAAAGAAATATTCCCCCTCATCACAAAAAAGTACTTTGCAGATGAAAATATAATGCGGTGAACAGATGTTTACCGAACCTTAGTAACACTTGTTTATTGATTGCTCTCAATAATAAATGCCAAAACCTGTATTCCAATTTTAAAATTACAAACAAGGTGTGAGGTGATTACACATAAAGGTGTGAGAAAAGGGTGTTGTGCCAGTCCAAATGGCCAACATTGTTAAGGCAGTAGTGTCTGTGTTGGACCAAAGGATGGTGGGTTCAATATCTTGTCTCAGGCATGATTGTATTTGTGTTCATCCTTTCACTCTCTAGCCCATGGTCTCAGTTTTCTTAACTCAGTTTAAAAATTTAACTCCTTTAAGAATGAAAGAGATATACTACTCAATTTAAATAACTTTTACCAATATTGTCTTTGTAAAAACAATGTTGAACTATAATAGATAAAGAAGCAGGAATATGCTGGAGATTACATCCACTATCTTCCTGCAACAGGATACATTCTCAAATTCATTAAAGCAGTGAAACTAGAGTCATTCATCTCTCAATGGGATTTATTTGTCTCAGGTAACAACAAATGCTTTTAATAAACATCTCTTTGGCAATGCAGTATTTCAGTGGTTTGCTAACAACTGCCTTCTTTCTGTGGAAATTTATTGTTGCTTGTGGAGCACAAATGTGTTATTCCAATCTTAAGAGTAATTCATGAACTCATTTAGACACCATTCTCAAAACTTTCAACAGAACATGAATTGATTGCATCTTCAAACCTTGATTGCTTGTCTGATTTGTTGAGATGGAAAGTGAGCATGGAAAGAGAATGAGTGATATGTCAAGGGGGTGTTTTGATGTTAGCTGAGAGGAAACAAGGAAACTAGAATCGCTTGTCTATGTTGCATTTTGTAATTTAATGTGATCAAAAAATGTTTAAGAAAGCACAACTCCATTCATAGCAATTACAAAACTACAACAAATGAATATAAGCTACTGATAATCTCATAACCTTAAGAGGTCAATGACGAAAATGTACAAATTTTAAGATCAGGATAAGTAAGGATGCAAAACATGTAAATACATGTTTATTTTTTAGGCATAATTATTACAGAGAAAATGAAATTTTTTAAATAGTTTTCTTACTCTGCATTTTATTAATGAAATCATCTTCTCTTCGGTGCTTCAATTAAGATTTTGCAGTAAATATATATGTATTTAATAGTTTCCATATTTGGAGAGGGGTTAATACACTTCAGTTGAATAACATGATAAATATCACATTTAACTCACCAAGACAAGATGCTGCACCATGAAATGTCCATGATGTGGCAGACAAACCCTGAACATCAGCAAGATGATGTTGCAACAGCCACCGGGAGCCTTCATCTGTCGCCAGTGCAAGGGGAGCTACACCACTGTAAGTTGCAAGCAAAGGGTCTGCTCCATAGGAAAGAAGTAATCGCACCAATTCTGTGTAGCCATTTTCAGCTGCTTCATGGAGAGGGCTGCCAACAAAACATGACAATATTTAAGGTTAAATAAAGTTAAACACATGTGCTCAAATATGAAGGGGAGGAAAAGAAAACAAACGAAATGAAAATGAGACCTGTGGCATTCTCTTAAGTCTCAATTTATGAAGAAAAAAATTGAGCGGTTTTTGAGAATTTTTTTTATAACTTGCAAGAACTTACACCAGAAATTATGCCAAAAATAGTATTAAAAAAATTACATTACACAACCTTTTTTAAAAAATTTGATTTTTTTGAAGAGATAACATTAAAGGCAAAAATCTATCTTCAATATTGAACTCTTGCAATCTCGACTTTTCGCAATTTTTGAAAATGCAGAGTTCACCGGAAATGGGAATAGTGCTATTTTTTGTTTATCCTTCGTTAGATGCACGGGAAAATATTGTCTTCAATATTGTAGTTTTAAGACAGCAAATTTTTTTTGAAGTATTGCAAATTTGGAAAAACTAGGAATTTCAATGAAAATGAGACCGACACCATCCTTTTAAGTATCCAATGATAATGTTCCTCCAAAAAATTTGAAGCTATTTTTGAGGAAATTATGATAATATTATAATAAATAATGAGACTTCATGTAAAGTTGCCCCCAAAATTATATCTGTTTTAAACTCGCAGGGTGTCAAGTTCCTTTAAATCGATCAGGGAATATTGATTTTGGAAATATTGCGACATACCACATTTGATAAGTAATTATTATACCTGTAATATTCTTCTTTCAATGTAGAGTGGTAGCCCATTTATGAAATAAATAAATAAAATCAGCTGAACGGTTTAGGCGGCAACATCTGACCCCTGACAGACAGACGTTTTGCTGTCAATGCATTTTTTGGTATCAAGGACCCACAAAACTTGGATTTTGATTGCACTAGTGTTAGAGGAAGGAAATTTACAATACACAGGAACAAGATTTTCCCACTTATTTGTTACCAGACAATAGCTTCCATTACATGCAAACATTTCTAGTTACCAGATTTTGTCAACAATGCTCGTTTATTCTTCATTCAACTAATGTTAGTAAAGGATTACGGGTTAGATATTCCAGGGTTCAGGGAAACTTGTGTGTATAATACCAACCTAGATGTGAATAATACCCGTATCCCAGTTTTGAGCACCAATGTTTTAAAAAAATATGCAGGGATTATATGAGTATATAAGGTACATTTTTAAAAAATCTTTTTATGCTTAGAACTTTGGGCAAAAATGAACTTTCAAGTCCCCTCTAGAAACTTTCACTCAACTGATCTATTTAGAGTTGCTTCATTCTCCAAAACCTATGTAGCTAATGACACCTTTAGTTGCATAACAAAAAGTGTGAAAGTGATTGCATAGTTGACTGATAATAATTCAATAAACTGCTTTAAAAGAAAGCTAATACCCTCGGTTTGATCAGTGTGAGAATTTGTACTACTCGTGTTGCACGGAGCAGAGATTTACATTTGCTTGTACTGTGTTTGTAAGTTTATCCATTTCTTTTATCTTTAATGACATAAAATATAACACCATAAGAATCATGTGATGAAGCTCATCATACTTGAGAATTATCTGTATTTAAAATTATTTTTGATAATTTGAGTTATGAAAAAAATGACATGGAGCAATATCTGGCAAATTTGATGGTTGATCAATACATGAATATTTTTGGCCAGTAATTCCTGTATGAGAAATTGTCTGTGAGCAGGTAGTTATTGTAATGCAAAATCCAAGAGATGTTTTTCCACAAATGAGGTCTTTTTAAGCAAAAATTGCGTACTGCAGAAACAATGTTTTATTTACTGTCTGGCCTCCTGGAAGAAATTTTAAGTGAACAACACCATAATAATAAAAGAAAACTGAATTTCATAGACCTTGGTGTGTGTGTGTGTGTAACATTCAGTTTATTTTTGTCCTTTTAAGCACCTCTTCAGCAATTAATTTTTGCTGCTCTTTTCAGAGAAAATTGAGGTCTTTCGGAACAAGATGTGCTATTAAGTATTTCATGCCAGAAAAGATCAACCAAAAAGCCAAGTCATCTTAATACCCTTAACTATATCCCTGAAAAATCTAAAGATTATTTTTGACCTCCATTAGTTGATTTTATCAATGAATTTTTCTAATGATGGAAATTGATGGTCAATCTGAGACAGGTCCTTCAACCATTTCATATCTGTCCTTACATGCTTTATAGCCCAATAATGTCAAGAGTTTTTGATAAAATGATTACAGTAGGACATGAACATTTTCAGTCATTCCACCCACTAAATTCCATTGGAAACACAACTTGAGGGTAAGTCTTTGGTCAATGCAAATTGAATGACAAACTTGGGCACAAGATAATGGTTGTAACTAAACTTAATTTGCAGATGGGCTTTGTAATTGTCTTCAAACTTTCTTAAAGTTCTACCAACTCAAAAACTAATTACTCTGAGCAATAATTGAGCAGGAATTTTAAGAAAATAATTTCTGATACTTTTTTGACAGTGTAATTCATGCAATTTGAAATGTAGCTTGAGTATGTTTCCCAATGTTTTCCAGCACTTCAAGTTTCCTTGACATTTTCCAGTTTTTCAAATGCACAACCATACCAGTAACTATTTTTAGATACATACCGCACTCCACCCAAGGCGCTGGCACTCACATCAGCACCATACATGAGGAGGAGTCGAGCAATATCCAGATGACCACGTGAGCAAGCTTCATGCAAGGGAGTATATCCTGCATTATCCTGAGGAGAAGGTGCACTATCCATTTTCTCCAAACAATATGCAGCCACATCCTGAAACATAAAAGTATATAAAGGATACAAAACAAATACAATTCTCACATCTCAAATGTTTGAAGCCACCCAAATGAAACAGAAAAACTTGAAATTAAATAAATTAAATTTCTTCAACATTATATGTTAGAGAGACACTGTGAGAGATGAAATATATAAAATCAAAAAACAACACTGCAAAACTCATTACAAAAACATTATGAAAATGTCGTGAACTTAGAAAAAACATTGAAGAAAACTAATCGAAAGGCAGAAATGAAAACAAAATTATAAAGACTGTAGTAAACTAAACTTTAAGACAAGGTATACAGTAACAAACAAAACAAATTTTGTATTATAAACACTTTAAAGCATAGATCTACTTACAGTATAGCCTAATCGTGCAGCTCGATGAAGCAAAGTTTCTCCTAAACCTTTATTTATGACCCAGCCACGAATTTCAGCCTGGACATCTTGCACCGATTCTGAGCTAGGTCTTGAAACAATTGTCTGGAACAATGAAACAAATACTTAATCAAAGCCAATATGAATTAATATTTATTTATATTCAGAATAACGCCAGCAGGATAGGTCTCTATATGAGCTTATTTGGGTACATTATAAACACATAAATAAGCCTATCTAATAAAAAGATGCTGCATAATTTAATGTTTGATCAACAAAGTAAAAAGAGGGTTGGCAAAAGTATCAATTTCACCTCTATATATCGAAGAACTCCTGTGCTTCAATTTTAGTCAGCCTAGAGTTACATAGTATCAGCGGGCACAGAGCGGTAAAATGGCCTATATTCGTAAGTATGAGGAACATGAAGAGGCATCAACAGTGTGATATTTTCGTGACCACAAGGACAATTAATAATATTAATCAAAACTTTAAGAAATAATATGATCACAACAAAATTCCTCCCGTTACCAAGGCTAGGAAAATTAAACTTCATTCTCAGGTAGTCACTGTCAATGCTACTCGGTTGGTATATTCATCGTTCTTTGAATTCAAGATATTTCAAGAATCTACTTTGACATCTTTCAAGTGCCATCTACTGACTAGGTTACAGCAGCTTATTCTAATTTAGATCTAACAAGAGCAAAGAATATAATTCGTAGTACCACATTATATCTGATCCTCCTGCTTAGCCTCTCAAGAAAATCAAATTTATTGACCATCAATGTGGTATTTAAACGATAGATGACTGCCAAAAAATTACACCACGATCCTTCATCGTAGACACTAATTCAAGGATCTTTAATCACATCATTAATAACATAATTAAACAAAATTCTTTTAACTCCATAAGAATGACATCACTTTCCCTTTTATGGTATTTCAAGGAAGTTTATATAGTTCACAAAAATATATATAAAATGGAATAAAGTCTGAACATTTTTCTTGATTTCACAACTTACTACTTCCAAATATTTTCCAGTTACTATTACAATATATATACTGAAGAATTGATGTTCAAGTTGAGGCACAGTATTACAAAACACTCAAACAAGAATGTAACATACATAATATTGTATGTAATGATCTTAACAACAATTCAAATAGAAAATTTTGTGAAATAATATTTTTAAAAAAAAATATATATTTTTTTTGATTTATTAGTATTAAAGTAAATTATTCTCTAAAATGTGTAACTACAAATAGTATCTTATAATTCTTATTCTTTATACAAATAGTTACTTATAATTAACTTTTGGATATTCAATATCCAAATTAATTTTCTTTCTACATCAAAATTTAATTTTATTCCTAAATTTCTTAAGACATTCTTTAAAAGTTAACAAGATACATTTAGAGAAAAATTCAAATTGAGATATACTCAGGCGAATTCCATCTAAATTAACATGGAATGACTTTTCCTTTTCTTTTTACTCGAGATAAATAGTATTTTAATTAAGTTTTAATAATGTACATATTTTACAAAAACATGCAAAATAAGGACTTACTTTCTTTCTCTCTTTCATTGTTTCAATATCCCCGGTATCTTTCTTCTGTTGCTTTTTCTTTTTACGAATGTAATCAAATCCAGATCGAAATTTTCGTCTAACTGTCCGAATTTTTATTCGCTTTCCAATTGTTTTCGGATTGGATGAATTTATGTGTGCACTGTGGGGTCCCTGAGGTAGCCTTGCCATTTGCTCAGATGAAAAATGATTGGCACCATCCATTGTAATCTTTTTATTAGCAATAGCACGCAACAATTTCATATTTCGAGATTTATTGCTATGTAAAAGGTGACGTTTTGAATTAAGCACAGCCTTATTACTTCTCAGCATTGCTGCTGTACGCAACCCTGCTCTGCCACGTGTGACAACTCCAACAGAAGGGTGAATAGCCTTCTTCATTTTAGAGGACCGCTTAGATTCAGAAAGAAGACTTGAAGTATCAGCACAAGAAGGTGGAGCCGAGGCAGGACGATCCTCCCCAAATACAGCCCGTATTGTAGGTCTTTGCTGCAACAGACGTGCCTGGGTTCGAGTCCTTGACTTTACCACAAGATTCTCTGCTGGTGGTTTACTGCGATCATTTGAAGCTTCACGACCTCTTCTTTTAATACGGTCTTTGGCCAATAAATCATGGTTATCAAATTCTATTTTAGAGAGAGACATTTTTGCTTCACTTTTCAATAGATCAGCTTTCTTTAGTTTACCTCCCAATATTTGCTGAGATCCTCCAGTTTCACTAGGAGTGGATGTATCTAAATCTGTGCTGGAAGAACGTGGAATGATAGAACCTTTATTGCTTTTCTTTTGTAATATCCTTTTTGAAGAATATTTATTACTCCCTACTTGACCAAAAGCATTCAGTACAGAGTTATTATTGTCAATATTTGAGCTGTTTTTACTTGATACAACTGATAAATTTGTGTCCTCCGATTCTGTACCATCATCAGTCTTGTAGGGCAATTGACTACCAAATGAATTGGAACTCTGGTCATTGCAAACAGATTGTTGATGACTGGAAGCACTATTTTGGGAACCAGCAGTATCAAGCAATGTTGCTGATGGATCAAGATCTGGAAGAGATGCAGAAATGTGCCGAGCACGAGGTGGCTTTGGTATATTTATTAACTGAGCAGGCATTCTCAATGACTGTTTGAATTTGTACACTTCCTCTTCCCAACCCGGATGGAAAGGCCCATCGAACTGCTTGCTTTCACTTTGCGAGGCAGAACTTGTGTCTTTTTTATTATTTTCACTATTTTGAGAACACAATTTCCTGTTTCTGGGCACAGATGATGCATTTCGTGGCCGGAGGCGCATCCCTGTTTTGGCAACATTACGACCTTTACGACGGTGGACTCTTGCTGCAACACTCTCCTGGGGCACACCATCACTACTACTGTCTCCACTCTCACTTGTGGTGCTACTACTCCTAGAGCTGGACCCTGTATCATCTGCTCGATGGCGCAACACTTTTCTGCAGACTGGTCTTTTCTTAAGGTTTCCTTTTCGAAGTCGCACTTTCATTTCCGCCAAGCTCATTTCATCATCTACATCACGTTCTTCTTTTCCTGTAACCTTTCTTACCAGGAGTCTCTTATTACTCAAAGGTACATCATCTTCTGAATCATCTTTACGACCTTTACGACGAAGAACTTTGTACTTCCCTAAACGTTTCAGTTCATTTAACCTAGGACTAGATTTTAATTTTCTTTTCATTCTGTTCCCTCCCATTCTGGAGCATCTGTCATCCACAGTTTTCTTGTTATCATTTCGATAAGTTCTCTTCCCCTCTCTATTCATGAGTTCATTACTGTTTTCCGCATGCTGAATGCTTCTTCCAAAGTGTTTTCTCCTTTTCCATCTACGCCTTCTGCCCAGAGGTACAACAGAGCTGCTTTCTTTAGTTGCCTTAACATCTTCCTTTCCTACATTATCCACCGATTCCTTCGATTGTTCTTCATCACTGACTTTAGCATCAGGTTCTTTGCCTTTAGGTTTTTCATGAACACTTTTAGATAAGTCACTTTCTTCTTTTTGTTCTTCTTCCTCCTTCAGAATACTTCGGCACATTTTCAAGTGTTTAAGTTCTCCTTTACTACTGAATCTATTTAAGTGACTTAACCTGTTTCTTTGAATATCTTCACTCTCTTCCAACTTGATTTTTGCTATTTTTTGATATTCTTCTGGGTCATCCTTTTGTTTAGATTTATTGTCAATATTAGTATCAACAATTACTTTTGAATGAAAATCACCATTTGTTTCAGCAAATTTAATCTCACTTTCATCACTTTCTTGAGCTTTTGTAGCACTACAGACTATCTTACTATCGTCATCATTTTTCACATTTGTTTCATCAGTTTTAGAGTTCCCTATGGTACCATCCTTAGCTAACTTCTCACCAACACTTTCTGCATTTAAGTCACCGATTATCTTCTTTTTACGACCACGTTTTTGTGTTCCTGACCCAGCCTGAAGTTGTTCCAAGAACTGATCACAAGCTGAAGACCAAAAAGCATCACTAGGAGAGGCAGGACCTTGTACAAAGAGATCTCTTGAATCCCTGGCATCCTCAACAATTGCTGATGGTTCCAATGTAGATTCAAGTTCTGTGGCAGATGTTGCCTCCGAAGGCACAGGGCACCGGGACGGAACTTTGGTAAGAAGCTTTCTGTCTCTTCTCATCCCATATAAAGTCTGTCTTTCCAGGACTGGCATCTCTCCCTCTGAATCACTACCTTTGAAATCAAAAACAGAAGTTTCAGAAGAACATCTCAACCCTAAGCCATCCTGTAGCGTCATAACAGGGAGCGCAGAAACTGCACCAACAGTAGCACCAGCTGTAGCACCAATAGCAGCACCTGCAGTAGCACCAATGGCTGCACTAGCAGAGGCACCAGCAACAGAAACAGTGGCACCATCACTACCAACGGGAACCACAGAAGTAGCACTTGCTGCAGTATTTGACATGGAGTCATCTTCCGGATGCATATACACCTTTCGGCGAGGCGGAACAGGCATTCCTCTTTCTCGTGTGAGTTTTGGAGGACTTCCATTTGTAACCAAAGGTTCTCCAGAAGATATAGGTTGTAACACACTAGATGGAGTTTGCCCTACTGCAGGAGTGTACGCAGTTGCAGGTTCCATTGGACCACCTTGTGGCACTATTGTCGTAGGAGAGAAAGGTGACAGCTGCTCAACATCAGGGCTCACCTGAAAAATTAATAATAATAATAATAATAATAATAATAATAATAATAATAATAATAATAATAATAATTAGTATCATTACTATTACTATGAAATTAACTATTTTGAATGGGTTAGAAATTAGCAGAGGCTTGCTTTTATCCAAATTAGACATAAGCACCATCTCAAAACAATCCTACCATCGCCAAATAAACAGACACTATCTCATAAAATGTCTAACTCATAATATGTAATTTGATAACTTATTAAACAACAATTACTTACTTGTTTCAATTCAGCTTTGGTACGTATACGAGCTGCCAAGTAAGCAGCAATTTTGTCAAAATCTCCTGACCGGGCACTACCAGAATTTACATGTGTCTCCGCTGGAAGGCTCTGCTGCTTTTGAGGTTGTTCTAGCTGTTGTTGCTGTTGAGACTGCTGATTGTGATGTTGTTGTGGTTGATGTTGTTGCATATGTTGCTCTAAAGACTGCTGATGTAAGTGCTTGTGTTGTTGCTGATGATGCAGAGTCTGATTAATTTGTTGCATCTGTTGACATCCAATCCCAGAAGCACTGTTTTCTAAAGAAGGCTCTAGGTCCAGAAGAACAGAGTCCACTGCTTTGGGAACATGCAATTTGTGACCAGATTGTGCCACACTTCCAGAATGAACAACTGATTGCATTCCTTGACGAGCATGTAACGTATTGGCCTGAAAGAAAAAAAATATTAAGAATATAAGATTCAATTTATACATAGATTAATTCAGACTGAGAATAGTCATTTAAATTGTTGTCAGAAATAGGCAATATATTTTTATCTATATTCTTTGTTATAGATAAAACAATATTTTTTGTGATTGAACCACAATCACATACATCCTTAAAATAATGTGAATTCCTTTTTCAAACACCTCTAAATTCCACAAAAAACGATATCAATTGAAAAGGATTAAAAGCAAGGGGGTGATAATGAGAGCGGGGACAAGGGGCATTAACAGGAATAAGGATGAGAGGTTACGACTGAAAAGAGCCAAGGGATGACAATGGAAATTAGTATGAGGGGTGAAAAGGGAAGTGGGGATGAGGGGTGAAAAGTGAAATGAGGAAGGGGGGTGATAACAGAAGAAAAGATTCAGGGATGAGTGATACATGGTTAGAAGAGGGGGTTATACCTTCTTTGATGAGGGAATAGTAATAGAAATGAGGAAGGGGTAATAACAGGTTGAAGAAGAAATGATAACAGGTTAAGGAAGCAGCAACAACAATTTTGAGGAAGGAATGTTACTAAGAATGAGGGAAGGTACAATGAGAACAGGGGGCAAGAATGGGAATCAAAAGACAGAGTGATAATGAACAAGAGAGCACCGGTGAGGACTGGTGCGAGGATAGGATAAATGTGGGAATGATGTCTGGCTGAAATTATGTGCCTATCATGCAGGCCAAGGCTGTACAACTACTGTAGTTACATGCTCCTTTACCTACTATGAGAATAACCAATTTTCTTTTCCTCCCTCCTTTGACATCATCAGAACAAATATTTATAAAATTATTTTTTGTTGAAATGACTAGTTATGAAGCCATATGAATTAAGCAACCAAGACTTACTATGCATGTACCTACATACATGTGTGCACAAACACTCTCAAACTTCATTTTTTATTAATACTAGAGGAAAACCAAGAAAAGGAATGAATTCTGCACATAATGTAGCTGTCATATTTGTCTGTGTGACACACATACTATAACAATTAATGAATATATTACAGAAAAAAGAGGAAGAGAAGGAGGAAGAAGAAGAATCAATTTTCAAAATACAGTAGCTTACGCAGTCTTACCTGAGTCATTACAGCTGAAGACCGAACATTGTTTGTGGGAATAGGAGTATGAACATGTTGCAGCTGAGCATTTTGTTGCAATTGGTTCTGCAATTGGGAAATTCGAGCCTCTTTTATTTCTAGACTGTTGCGAAGAATACTTAGCATGTTGTCAGAACCAGCATTGCTGTAACTACTGCTTGGCACAACAGGTTCACTCTTTGATGTCAAAAGTTTTCGGATGGTGTGCTGGTCTCCATTAAGTTCTAGCTGAGGGAGATATTGCTGTTTTGAACCTTTTGGAATGCCATTGTGGTGTACAGTACCTGAAGCATCTTCATGGTGAACAGCAGAGAAATTGCTATTTAAGGATGGAGATTGATAGTTCTGAAATTTTGAACTTTCTATTAGATCACTGCCATATGAGTGGGTTCCATGAGTTTGTTTGGCTTGCTCTTGATGTTGAAGTTTGGTATAAGCAGACAACTTTTGCTCTATTTGCTGGTCAATAGTCCGATGCCATGTATCCTTGCGTGGAATTTTGGCTGGAAAATTAGGCCTTCCTTCATGAACCCTCTTGTGCCCAGCAGAAATATCATCATGTTTAATGTCAGTGGGTGCAGAGATGCCAGCATATTCTGCTTTTCTGTTTAATGTATTATTTTGTTTAATAGAATTCTCATAACTACTAACTCCAGGTATCATACTATAAGGAGAAATATCCTTAGCAGCTGCATATTTGTACTGTGGATTGTCTCTAGTCTGTTCCCGAGACTCACATGTGTTGTAATTCATTACTGTTGATTTTCTGAAGTTATTTGAATGAGGTAAAGCAGTTGCTGGTGACTGGAATGAAAGATGAGCTTGCTGCTGCACTCCTGGCTTCAACATACTCAACCTCTGATTCTCAGCACTGTAACTTGAGGTAGGAATTGGCCTGCTGGTATGATGAGTCCCTACATTAACATTAAAATCTGTCTTGGGCAATGGGACACCACGCACTGTATTTTGCATTCCTCCAGCTTTCTCCATTTGTGGACCAGTAACAACAGGTGAATGCTTCACAGCCGGCAAAGCTCCACCTGTGGCTTCACTTCCTAGAGGCTGCATAACAGTGCCCACTGCAGCAACATCCCCACAAGGGGACACACTGGAACCACTGTATCCACATTCCACATCATCCTTAGTTGAATCAGCAGATTGCCTAACTGTTTTTACAGATAAATCAAGAGGTGATTCCCGTTTACTTCGAATAGCACCATGTACAGATATCACTGATTTTGAGCTTTGAATATTTGTAGCTAATGTACTACCACCCGGTTGATTTGCAACTCTTGATACAGATGTTGGCTGTCCAGCAGTTCTTGCAGTAGGAATTGGATTACTTGTCTGAAACAAAACAGTAAAGTATTTCATTTCTATTTTGAAACCAACATTAGAAATGTGAACAAAGAAATTCATTAACTCAAATAATACATTTTAATATTATTTCTTGAGTTAAAAAACTTTAAACAAAGAAATAATAAGAAAAAACAATATAACAGATACTACAAGAAAGGTAGAGTGGAAGCAGCATGAATATTTTACAAATCTATGTGCATAAAAACACTAAATACTGACTTGCTTCTAAATCTAACTTAAATATCAAACAATTTAAGAGAGAAATAATGGCACTGACAATTGATGACTGAAAATGGCAAGGACTTCTTAGTAGTTGATAGGTATATTATTTTCATTTATATCTCTCGATTCCTTGTAAGTTTGGGAGAGGGGCACTGCTATCCAACGAGGATATTCAATTTTTGAAACCATACCATTTTTGATCTCGTTTGAATAGCAGGGCCCACTCTCCTAACTCACCAAGGATCATGAAATTTAAATCGAAGAATAGTTCATATAATAATTTTCAACTCCATAATGCAGAAATAATAAATATTTCAGCAACTGATAATAAGCAAAGTAATACTGATTGCCATGAAACATTAAAAAACAAATAAAACAATTACAAGCCTACAAAGTAATATCTAACACTGCAAACCATTCATTAATAATATATTTCCAGAGATTCTGAAGAAACAACCACAAGAAAAAGTAAAAAACCAGTCAGACAACTTCACAACGAAAACCTCCACATTCAATCAATTTTTATTTATATTTATATTCTTGTACTGTGAGTACTGCAGGTTTAACCTGCTTAGGGTTTGAAAGTGTGTTAGGAATCCTCCCTTTCAGCCTTTTCCAGTAACCATCCATTTCCACGGCCCTTCTTCTTATTACGACTTTGGATTTGGGGTGAAAATGGCATGGTAAGCATCCTGCTTCAACCGGTCAATCAAATCACAAAACAACAATTGGATTAAATTCAAAATAATCAATAATTGAATTCAATTTAAATTAACACCCAATCTCAAAGCTTTTCACTCACATTTTAAAGTCACATCTATCACAAGGATTGACAAAAACAATTCTTAACAAAAACTTATTGTAAAAATGTACAAAAGAAATAATAAAAATTACTGAACAAAAGCAACCTGTACAACAATCAGTAAGAACATAAGGCACACCAATCACATCTGTCCAAAATTGTGTTACTGAAGTGTTTTTTTATTTATTTCCAAAAAGCCAATGTAAAATGAGCTTGGAAATTTTATTTTTGGTTCAAACAAAATGGAAATAGGGCAGGAATTAAAACCAAAAAAATGTTGGGAATGGCAATGTTTTAAAATTTGAATATAACAAATTAATGTATTACTCTATAAAGAAGAGGATATATGTAGAAAAGTAGGTGGTAGGTGGCTTTAGATATATGAACTGGATGCAACTTGTCACCATCTGTATTAGAACGAATTCTAAACAAAGAGCCAGAAAATATAATTGGAATCAATACATTATAAGAGACAGAAAAGTAGTAATTCACCAAATTAAGCATGTGGATTGTTGACAAAACATATTATGATTTTAATAAGTATGTGGCCTGTTTGTTTCACAAATCAAAAATCCCGATGACTTCGACGAATTCCCAACGTCGATGTGTATCTACGTAACTTACCTGCTGCAAGGGGGTCTCACATGGCCCTAGGGTGGTAATGTCTATATTGCTAGCTACGAATTCGTCCACTGGTTTGGTCATTTCGGTTCGTACCTTTCTACACTTCTCCAGCTAGGGAGTACGAAACACTGAAATCTCCCTGCGGCAATCGAGAGGATCAACGAATAAGAGCACCACAATCAGTATACAAACACTATTCTGCAGTTTCGTTCCCTGGACACACGTAATACTGAAATTTATCCACTCATACTGTACTACTCCGTATGTAAACAAACGCACGTGCTCCGAGTACAGCGAGGTAGATTGACGAGCATTTCCTCCAGATAGCGCTGCGAAAACCACGGAACACATTTAATACAAATCATTTATTTTTATTATGAATTCATTTATAATTTTATTTATAGAAAGGTTCAATTAAAAAAAAGAATCTTTCAAGGTTTACATTTTTAACGAAAACAAAATTCTAAAATGTACAATATTATTGTAATGCTGCGGGAAAAATTCGAATTTTCCACAGAATCTCTTTTAGCCGGGCCATGGTAACGAAAAAGTAGATGAATCCAGTTGCAAAATTAAAATCCTCTAACCCGTGGTGTAGCTAGAAGCCAGTAGCATTGTGTATCCTTGATACCAAAAAATCGATCGACGGAAAAACGCCCATCTGTCCGCCCGGTGTATGTGAACACTAGTTCAGTATATGTGAATACGCCTAAACCATACGTGTATTTTTCCCAAGCTGAAGAAACCCCTGCTGATCTGGCCCGAGTCGAAGCTCTTCCATTTTGTAAAACATTAATTTTTGGGGGTATTCTAAATTAAGCCCAGACATTTTCAAATTTTCTGAAAAAGGCTCAAAATTTGTTTCATAAAATTTCTTGTAAAAAGAGTAAAATACACTTATAAAGGTGGCATAGGCCCGATTTTCACTGTTAACTTCGAATTTTCGAAAATAAAAGAAGTTTGAAGCTTTTCGGCGACTTCCTACAACTACAAAATTGAAGATGGAGATAATTTTCTTTCAAAAAATGTCCATAATTAACTCTTTCATAAAGATCACGGAAATTTTTTTTGAAAATTTTAATAGTTTTCGCGCACGAAGTTAGAGAAAATAAATTTATTCCAGGGAAAACAATCTTATCAGAAGAAAATCGGAAATATGTTGGTATTGAAGCATTTACATGGCTTAATTCACTTGTCTTTTGAAATAGAAATACAAGAAAATTTCTGACTTCAACTTCTGCACAAAAACTTGAATATATGCACTTAAATATGCCACATAAATAAACATATGCGGTTAAAGACAAATATTTCAGAAATATGCATTTATGCAAAATAAAAAAAAGTGCTACTATTGTTTTATTTTTGGTGATAGGTAAAGTTATATACGTTTCCTTTCGGATTGCGCAATCAGTAAAAAGTGCAATTGTATGAAGTTCCGCAGTCTAGTGATAAGCTATTGAATAAGACCAAATTTATATAACTATGACCTATGACGCATCTTAAAAGAAGTGAAAACAAATTAAATTAGTGGGTTCGAAATAATAATATCAATTATTACAATACATTATTCTTTGATTATGTGTGTTGTATTCACTGATCTGTGTATCTCAAAAAGCACCGAGGTACTTGCAAATAAACTGACTCAACTTCACCCATTTTATACGTGAGAGGGAAAACCCAATGTATGAACAACCATTAGTTCTATAATTTCTCAAAAGATGGACCATGAAACATAGAAATGAATTTTTAAAATACACAACTTGATTATTCTGTGTTCTGAAGTTCAATATCTGAACTAACAATGTGAAAACTCACATCGAGATTGAATATCGCAGAGATGAAACATATTTTGAAGGTTGTTATGGATTTACCTGCCAGTGGAGAGGAATCATCTGAGATATGTGCAATAAAATTTTATTTAAATGACTTGTGTGTTTAATTGTTGTTTAGCTACAGGCAATGCCTCGCGCTGTACACTAGCCGACTGAAAGCATTACATTAATGTAGGAAGAAACGGAAAAACCCATGTTACTCAAGTGGAGCGGCCAGACTTCCAAGATACTGAAGTTCTCTTGTCAGCGGGCAAGAAGCAGTGACCAACAAAAAGGAATTCCAATTTTCTGAATCATCCGTATTCAGGATATCTTCAGAAACATCGTTCCCATTATCACCATGAAACATCAGTGCATGTTGTAGTGAACATAAAGAGGGCATCCGAGATCACGTTATTCACCTTTCAATTTGCCACAAAATTACAGACATAGAAAAAAAAACATGCTAATTTACTGGCACTTCTGCAACGGATTCCATAAGAATATCACATATTCTTTGAAAAACTTGTGTCGTCTGAAAGAATGAATTATCAAAAATAAACATGAAATGTACAAAAAGTATCAAAATGTGTGTTGAATTGTGAACTTCATTTTTAATAAACTTTGTGAATCCTTACGGGAGTAAAGCACATCGCTTCAATAGCTTCGGTAGACATACTTTCCTCGCACGAGAGCGATTCGGCATGCTACACTTCGTCACGTAGTATAACGACTATTACAAAAACTAAACTTGAAGATTATCACTCCGAAAAACTTCTGCTTGGCGTTCTTGGCTTTCCGTTTTATTTCAAGCTACGTCACAGTGTGCTTGAATTGGTGTAACACTTTAATGCGAGCACAGATTATTTACAGAAACGTTACAATTTCCACCAAAATAGAAGTTGAAAAATGGTCTCACTATATCCTTTGAAGTTGTTCAATCTCGAATGGCTATAGTGATTATTCTGTGACACACACCCTCTCTCCATATTTTAATGTCCTTTCTTTGGACGACTTTTATGCTATCTTTCGCCCATGTAAGCATTGATAAGGTAATCGCGAAGACGATGACATGTACGCATGCAATAGACTGTTTCATACAAAAATAGTAAAGACCAGCAATAACTACCGTTTGTCATCCTTTTGATAAACATGAGAAAATTGCAAATGCCACAATTGTATGAGTTCAGCTCCTTCTGTATCTCTGATGAGTAGTCTAAATGAAAGAATCGTCCTTTGTTTTACCTGAGCGCTCAAACCTCAGTCCGGGCAAATATTTTTGCGCGTTGGAAACACTCGCCGAGGGATATGTTGGGCCTATAAGGCGGTCCTTATGGAGGAAGCAGTTGCTGGCTGGGATATACAATCTAGTTCAAATGCGCGAAATTTTCAGGGTTAACTAGTATTTTACTATGACACAGTTGCAATAATACGTGCGTGTATACGCTATTGCAGCACTAGTAGTTTGATGTCAGAATATATGACTGGTCTCCTGCACCAGTCGGCGATACTTGACAGCCACCCTGCGC